TTTAAAAAATGAGAAATTACAGCAAGATAACAACATAGCAAACAGAGGTAACCAACAGGGGCACTCCTGAGGTACTGCCTCGTAGTCCAAAAAATAAATACACAACAGGGGAACTCCCAAGGCACCACCTCGTAGTCCCAAAAGTAAATATACAACAGGGGCACTCCCGAGGTACCGCCTCGTAGTCCCAAAAGTAAATATGCAACAGGGGCACTCCCAAGGTACTGTCTCGTAGTCCCAAAAGTAAATACACAACTCATAACCTATGGAACAACGAATTTATAGAAAGGAATCCTACAGTTAAAGACTGAATGCCAAATCAAGGAAACAAGAAATTCAACTAAGCATGTTACAAGAATTGCAAGTAAGAGTTAAGAAACGTAGACATGCGACATTAGGCTAAACATGATGGCTGCACGAGTTATGGCAACTCAGTTAAGGAATTAAAGAAATCTACTCAGCAAGAACCAGATTTTTCAATTTTTGACCCGAGTACGCACTCGTCACCTCACGTACACGGCCTTCACGTATTGCAAATACCATAACAGTACCAAAATCTAAGGGGAATTTTTCCCATACAAGGTTAGACAAGTCACTTAAGAATGCCTTTCTCTCGATTTTCCGACTCTGAACGGCCCAAATCTAGCCAAAAGCAATTACATTCTATAAATACAACTATAAGAAACTAATTTAAATAATAAATCTATGACTTTAGCAAAGAATCAAAAAATTGTCCCAAAACGTCAACCCGGGCCCACATCTCGGAATCAGTTAAAAGTCACAAAATACAAACATCCATTCGATATCGAGTTCACCCATACCAAAATTACTCAACTCCGACATCAAATCATCTTTCAATTCCAAAACATTCGGTCAAAGAACTTTCACCATTTTCTACCAAATTTCCCAACCCAAATCCTTAGTTAAATGAAGAAATAAATGATGGATTAGTGGATATTGATCAAAAATGAGTGTAGAATACTTACCCAAATGTTTCCTCTGAAAATCTCTCAAACTTTCACCTCAATCCGAGCTCTATATCTCAAAATATGAATAAAATGGCAAACCCTCGATTTTTAAACCATTCTGCCCAGAACTTCCACTTTTGCGGTTCATTTAGCCTCTTTTGCGGTCAGCCAACCGCATCTGTGAAAAGTCACTGATGCTAGCCACCCGATTCTGCGGGTGCGAATCTGTGCAGACTCGCCCGCTTCTGTAGACCGGCCTCCCAAGCTCTTGTCCTCTTCTGCGGCGTTCACGTCACACCTGAGACCACTGGCCACTTTCCCCAGCCCCGCATCTGCGCCCAACCACTCTCTTCTGCGAGCTCGCACCTGCGGTCAAACTTGCGCAGGTGCGATTGAACTAGAACTGGTGCACTTATGCCATTCTCACAAGTCCAAATTTGTTCCGGATTCAATCTGATTCACACCCGGGGCCTCCGAGACCCCGTCTGAATATACCAACAAGTCTTAAAAATTCATACGGACTTAGTCGAGCCTTTAAATCATATCAAACAATGTTAAAAACACGAATTGCAAATCGATTCAAGCCTAATGGATTTTAAAACTTCAAACTTCTACATCTGATGCCGAGACATATCAAATCAAGTCTGATTGACATCAAATTTTGCACACAAGTCATAATTTACATTATAGATCTATTCCAACTTCCGGAATCGGAATTCGACCCCGAAATCAAAAAGTCCACCCCGGTCAAACTTTTCAAAAAATCATCCAACTTTCCAACTTTCTCCATTTGATGCCAAAATGACCTACGGACCTCCAATTCAACATCCAAACATGCTTCTAAGACCAAAATCACCATGCGGAACTATTGGAACTAACGAAACTCCATTCCGGAGTCGTCTTCACACAATTCAAACTATGGTCAATTCCTAGCACTTAAACTCCCAATTTAGGGACTATGTGTCCCATTTCACTCTGAAACCAAAAACAAATCCTCCCGGTAAGTTACGTAACCACAAAATGAAATAGAGGGAGTAATAATTAGGGATTCAGGGCTAATACTCTCAAAACGATCGGCTGTGTCGTTACATCTTCCCCCTCTTAAAACAAATGTTCGTCCTCGAACGAGTATAAAGACATACCTGAAGTGGTGAAAATATGAGGATAACGGCTACGCATATCATGCTCAGTCTCCCAAGTCGCCTCCTCAACCAAATGACCCCTCCACTGAACCTTCACTGAATCTATGTTCTTCGACCTCAATTTTTGAACCTACCTATCCAAAATGGCCATCGACTCCTCAACATAAGATAAATCATTGCCAACTGGAATGAGCTGAAGTCTAACACATGGGACGGATCGCCGTGATACTTCTGGAGCATGGAAACATGGAACACTGGATGAACTACAGAGAGACTAGGTGGTAGTGCAAGTCTGTAAGCCACCTTTCCAACCCTCTCAAGAACCTCAAAAGGCCCGATATACCTAGGGCTCAACTTACCCTTCTTTTCGAACCTCATAATACTTTTCATGGGAGAAACTCGGAGCAAGACCCACTCCCCAACCATGAATGCAACATCGCGAGACTTCCGATCCGCATAACTCTTCCGTCTGGACTGGGCTGTACAAAGTCGAACCTGAATCAATTTAACCCTTTTCAAAGCATCTTGAACCAAGTCTGTACTCAATAGCCTAGCCTCACCCGGCTCGAAGCAACCTAGTGGAGACCGGCACTGCCTACCATATAAAGCCTCATACAGTGCCATCTGAATGCTCGACTAATAACTATTGTTGTAGGCAAACTCCACAAGTGGCAGGAACCAATCCCAAGCAACCCCAAAATCCATCACACACGCACAAAGCATATGCTCCAATATCTGAATAGTGTGCTTGGACTGTCCGTCCGTCTGAGGGTGAAATGTTATACTCAACTCCACCCGAGTACCCAAATCACACTTTACGGCTCTCCAGAACCATGATGTAAATTGCGTACCCCGGTCAGATATGATAGATATCGGTACGCCATGTAGCCTAACAATCTCACGAATGTAAACCAGAGCCAGCTGCTCCGAGGAGTAATTAGTAACCACATGAATGAAATGAGTTGACTTGGTCAATCTATCCACAATCACTCAAACTACATCGAACATCCTATGAGTCAGTGGGATCCCAACAACGAAATCCATAGTGATCCACTCCCATTTCCACTCTAGAATCTCTAACTTCTGAAGCAATCCACTCGGTTGTTGATGCTCATACTTCACCTTGATGTATGGCTATAATTATATATTTTTAGTGCATTACTTACCTTACATTTTGGGGCTTTAATGCTATACTGTACTATATGTGTAGGTACGTTGAAGACGAAATTGGGAACAAAGTAGAGATTTTATGTGTATTTTATACACTACAAGAATGGACCATGGTCATTTATCGATTAGAAGCATTATAATGTTATATGGAGCAATGATTGAAGAGACAAAAAGAAACAATGCAAGGGAATTTGAAAAAAGAAATAGAAATGAGAATGAGAAATGAGTTTGAAAAGTTAGGCAGCAAAAATATTGAACTAAAGCTAAGCAGTTGGGCACAGAATTGAGTTCTTAACATTTGATTTGATGTTAGGCAACAAGAAGTCGAACTCAATTATGGGAGATGCGAGAAATCTAGCTCGCTATAGAGCATGCGACGCGAGCAATTTAGCTCGCGATGGAGCAGGCGCCACGAGGGTTATCGCGAGACCAAGAGCGTTATAGAGGTTGTGAGGCACGGTCTACAGCGAGTGTGTTCCGGGTTTTTTAAGCCTATTTTGTCTCCTATATGGTTTTGGACTTGATTATTTCATTTGGGTCTCTTCCCTACACATATAAATAGTCATTAAACACCATTTTCAAGGGAGTTTTTGCGACCGGAGGAAAGAACATCACATGGAACAACTTTAGGAGGAGAAAATCATCGAGTTCTTCATTCCTTTATCTTTTATTTGTAATTTGTTTATGCAAAATACTTGAAAAATTGTTACTACGAACATGAGTGGCTAACAACTCTAGTTCTAGGGTTGTGGTTGACATGATTGTTAACATTTATTAATTACATCTTCCTTAATTTGGATTATCATCTTGTGGTTATTTCTTTAATTCTAGTTTTAACTTGTGAATTATTGTAGCTACCAATTCACCCTACTATATATGCTATGCTTGGGAAAGCCGTGTTTATATTAGAGTAGAATTAGAGAGAGCTTGTTTCTGAACTCGTGGCTCGGGGGACAATTTTCGCGGGTAGGATAGGAATATACCTAACAGTCTTGCTTAATTAAATACCGCATTATATTCGTTTATGATAGACTCAATACCATAAGAATATAGGATTGATATATTGTGGGCGGGCGAGTAATATTATGGGAACATGCTATTTATATAAATGATCTGGTTAATTAGCAACCATAGATAATATGGATTAACGAGTGTGATTATTGAACTTATTAGGATAGATAAACCAACCAGAACCCTGGAATTTCCATCTCCTCTGAAGTAAAATCTCATCATACACATTTGCATTCTTGATAAATTAGTTGTTACTTGTTTAATTTCCGTAATAGTACATTAATAGAAAAACATCACTCTTAAATATCTTGGACAATTAATTAATTTTAGTTTGCTTAGTTGACAATTGATCTAAGTCTCTGTGGGTTCGACATCTGACTTTCGAGTCACTTTATTACTTGACGGTCACGTATACTTGCGTGTACTTGGGGAACCAACAAGTTTTTAGTGTCGTTGCCGGGGACTTAGTTATTGATTGTTTAGTTAAGTTAAGCTTTTATTCGGTATTTGTTCAAGTTTTAATTTTTAGTTTGTTTTATTTGTGATAACGAGGCTCTTCTCTTGAATGCAGAGGAGTAGAAGCGCAAACAATCTCCTTCCTCTTGATCCTGAAATCGAACGAACACTTCATAGAGTGAGGAGGGAAGTTGAAGCTAGAACTAGAATTGAAAGAGAGTTGGACGTCGTAGTTCAACCACAGCCAATAGAGATGGCAGGTAATGAAGAGCGTCCAGTGATAGAGGCTACAAGGCCCAATCTGGCTCTTATGACTCAGGCGATTGTGAAGCCTAATATCACGGGTCACTTTAAACTCAAACAGTACATGGTATAGCTGATTCAATCCACAGGGCAATATGTTGGCTTATCTCATGAAGACCCACAGAGGCACATTCAGAACTTCCTGGAAATTACAGACACTTACAATTATCCGAACGTTTCCAAGGATTATGTCAGGCTGACACTGTTTCCCTTTTCATTGATGGGGGAAGTTAAGGAATGGTTACAAAAGGAGCTCGCGAACTCAATCCACAATTGGGATGATCTAGCAAGGAAATTCTTAATCAAATATTTTCCCACAAAGAAGACAAAGTCACTGAGGAGCCAGATTCTTGGGTTTCAACAACGAAATAGTGAGACTCTTCGACAAGCTTGGGAGAGATACAAGAAGCTTCTCAAAGACTGCCCGCACCATTGTCAGACTGATGAGGTATTGGGTCACACTTTAGTTGATGGGTTGGACGAGGCATCAAAGATGAATCTTGACTCAGCATGTGGGGGTAGTTGCATGGTAGGACCGTATAGTGAGATCCAAATCCTGCTAAACAATTTTACTTCTAATGATAATAATTGGCAAGGAGGTGGGGAACCACAAAGAGCACTTAAACAAAAGGCAGCAGGTATGATCGAGCTTGATGATTTCTCAACAATGAGGATAGATATAGTGAGATTAGCGAATTAGATGAATAAAATGACAATGCACCACGCACAACAGATGCAACATGTGCAACAGATGTCTACTTGCTGCGAGTTATGTGGTGAAGGACACACAAGTGGCATATGCCCCGTGAATCCTGAATCAATTTACTACGTGGGGCAACAAGCTAGAGGGCCGATGAATCAACATGCTCAATATGGTAACACATACAATCTGAACTGGAGGAATCATCCTAACTTCTCTTGGGGTAGAAATCAGAATATTAGACCTCAAGTGAATTATAATCATCCACCTCAACCTCCACAACAAGCAGAAGAGAGTTTGACTGACATGATAAAAAAGCTCTTGATAGACAATCAATAATTGTGCACAGAGTTCAAAAATCTAGAGAGGCAGTTTGGGCAAATGGATAACAATCAGAATACTAGGCCTGCTGGAGCTCTCCCGAGTGATACTGAGCCTAATCCTAAGGCTCAAGTCAATGCGATTACCTTGAGAAATGGAAGAGAATTAGAAGAAGTTCCAGAGAAAAAGAAGCATACAGGTAGACCTGAAGGAGAATTAGTTCCAAAGCTCGTTGAGGAGAATAAGAAAGAAAAGCCAGAAATTGTGACAAGGCCACCACCTCCATTTCCACAAAGACTGCAAAAGCAAAAAGATGATGCTATGTACAAGATATTCTTAGATATTTTGAGCCAAGTGCGTATGAATTTGCCTTTGGTGGAAATTTTGCAGGAAGTGCCTAAGTATGCAAGGTATCTCAGAGATATTGTGGCTAACAAGCGAAGACATACAGAGTTTGAAACAGTTGCACATACTGAAGAGTGCAGTGCTAGAGTTCAGAGTAAACTTCCTCCTAAGTTGAAGGATCCTGGGTTTTTCACAATTCCTTTGTCTCCTGGAAAACAAGAAGTTGGTAGAGCCCTGTGTGATTTAGGGTCTAGTATAAATTTGATGCCATCCTCTTTGTTCAAGCAACTCGGATTGGGGGTGCTTAGACCTACTACAATCACTTTAAAGTTAGCAGATAGGTCACTAGTTATGCCAGAGGGAATTATTGAGGATGTGTTAGTTCGAGTGGGAAAGTTTATTCTTCCTGCTGATTTTATTGTTCTTGATTACGAGGCAGATGAGGAAGTACCCATTATTTTGGGCCAAACATTCTTAGCTACTGGTGGAGCGCTTATTGATGTTAGATAAGGGAAGTTAAAGATGAGAGTTGGCGATGAGAAAATCACATTTAATGTGTACAAGGCACTTAAGCTACCTAAGCATTATGAGGACTTGTGCATGATTACTGCGGTAGAACTGAAGGGGATAGAGCAGAGTCCTTATGTGAATTATAGTGATTCGGATGGGACAACTGAGTTAGAGGAGGTGGTGTTGCAATCTGAGTGCATAAGGATGATTGAGAAAAGAGCCAGAGATTAAAGAGGAGACCTTCTGAGAGCGTGTAAAAAGGCTAGACTTAATGGGAGAAAGAAGAAGAGAAAGCGCCCAGCCTGAGCAGAGTAACAGTGTCATGCCGCGACGTTAAATCAGGCGCTTGTTGGGAGGCAACCCATCTTCACTGCTTTCATTTATTTTTGTTTATTTTCTTTTTTTATATTTGTAGTGTTGTTTTTGTTTTGTAGGATTATGAGCATAGGAAGTAAAGTCATTTGAAGAGTGCAAAAGCGAGTTAGATGGTAAGAACTAAGTGTGGGTTGCCACATAAAGGACCATATCGGGGGGGAAGTCTGAGTACCCATGAGCTGCTATTGCTTCGGCCTTTGGCCTTTCAGGGAGTTTCTTATTCGCCCTCGTTATTATTTGGCTTTATTTGTGCATTGGAGACACTGCATTCTTTTAAGTGTGGGGTAGGAGAATTCTCTAGATAATTAGTAGTAGGATGTAGAAAAATGTTAGTAATTATGTAGTATTTTGGTAGCTAAAACAAAGTAGAAAAATTGAATTTTTCCAGACGATGGATCTCTTAGATAGTTTTCTTGAGGGACTTAAGTCTAAAGAAAAAGGACAAAAAGGTTTTCTTTGTAGGTAATGTAGTAATTCTCCCTTAGTTTTTCTTTGTGCCGCGGTTCTTTTCCAAGGGTTTTGTTTGAACCGGGTGTAGGTAGTTTTTTTTAGAGTAGGATCCATTATGAGATGAATTGAATTGAAGCAATATCTCTTGACTTTGTTATGCCTTGAGAATAGTGAGTACTTTGGTTATGACGCTTAGGCTCAGTTTTTGACTCTTGTGTAAGTACCTTAAATTGTATAATCTTAAATTGGCTTAACTGCTTTGACTAGAGTGTCTTGATGAGTCCAATACTGAGTGAGTTATGTGCCATGTGTGTGTGAGGTTTGTGTGTTATTCTATGCATTGCATTTGATGTCTAGAACTTGCCACGTGTGTTTGTAAAGCGAAATAGTAGTTTTGTTCAGTCTTGGAAATGATATAGGCATTTCTTTGTTGAGTCAAATATATAGTTTACCCGCCTAAATGTTATGTATTGTAGTTAACCCATTTGAGCCTGTAATCATGTTTTTCTGGCAACCACATTACAAGCCTTACTCATTTGTTTGAATTAACCATCTATTTGAAACTTTTAACCTCTCATGAGCACTTGAATTGTTATGAACTTTGTAAAAGTTAAAGTGTGGGTGGTTGGTTTGGCTTTTGAGTGGAACTAATGAAATAAGGAGAAA